AGAGATAGGACTTATGACCTCATTAGCCATAATTATTTCCTTAAAGGTCCTATCACACACAAACACACATATACACACATACATATTTTGGGCTGTGGGTTGTTTGTGGTGCTGGAGATTGAATCTAGGGCCTCATGAGAGCTAAGCAAGAGCTGTTACCACAGAGTTATAACCTCAGCCTAATGGCCCTATCTCAGATACAGTCACATTTGGGGTTAGGGCTTCAACATAAGAATTGAGAACAGAATTTTATTCAAATCTTTGCAAATGATCCACCCCCAAATACATTTTTTAGTTGTAGTTCAACACATTATCTTTATTTTATTTATTTGTTTTTATGTGGTACTGATGATGGAACCCAGCACCTCGCATGTGCTAGGCAAGTGCTTTACCACTGAGTCACAATCCCAGCCCCCACCCCCGAATGCATTTTTTTATAAACAATTACAAGATGTTTTATTCCATTTATTTATTCTCATTTTAATACATGATTTATTTCTTCTGAGGAAATAAATCTTTGGAATGAGGAAAGTGGCTCAGAAGCTGACTGGACCTCTCTGGCCACAGACTCTCCTGTAGTCAGGCATCTGTTTTTAATTTTGTGATGACCAAATCACTAGGTTGTTCAGGGACATCACAAGCTGATATTCAGAGTGTTATGGAAGAAAGTTAGATCCCCAGCACTTTTTTTTTTTGTATTGAGGGCTGAACTCAGAGGTATTTAAGCACTGAGACACATCCCCAGCCCTTTTTATTTTTTATTTTAAGATAGGGTCTACTAAGTTGCTTAGGTCCATGCTAACTTGCTGAAGCTGGCCCTGAACTTGTGTTTCTCCTTCCTAAGGTTCCTGAGTCACTGAGATTAAAGGCATGAACTGCCACACTTGCCTAAGGAGAAGAGATTCTGTTTCACTCTGCCTCACTCATGCCAAATACCTTATATTAGAATAATAATATTGAACCCAGGGTCTTGGGTATGCTAGACAAACACTCTATTACTGAGCTACACCCCCTACTTGGGAAGGTGAGAATTTTTAATTATTTTATTCTTTTCACATAGACTTATCACTTAATTCTTTTTTTTAAATTTATTTAGTTGTAGATGGACACAATACCTTTTTACTTATTCATTCATTTATTTATTTATTTATTTATTTTTATGTGGTGCTGAAGATTGAACCCAGTGCCTCACACATGCTAGGTAAGCACTCTACCACTGACCACAACTGCAGCCCCAAGACTTATTCTTTTATTAAGAAGCTAAAGATCTTCTTCTGTTCATTCCTATCTTTTTTTTTGGTGGGAGAGGGTGTTACTTGGGATTGAACTCAGGCACACTGACCACTGAGCCACATCCCCAGCCCTATTGTGTATTTTATTTAGAGACAAGGTTTCTCTGAGTTGCTTAGGGCCTCGCTTTTGCTGAGGCTGACTTTGTACTCAAGATCCCCCTCCCTTGGCCTCCAGAGCCTCTGGGATTACAGGCATGTGCCACCGAGCCTGGTTCATTCCTATCTTTGTAAACTATGACTTTTGGTGTCTTTTTCTGAAAAAGATCATATAGTTCATTTTTGGTTATACCATTTCTATTACTAGTAGGGTGAGACCCCAAAGAGTAACAATGGACCACTCACCTGCTATGTCCCCTAAAGTGAGATATATATGTTACAAACCCAGTTATGCACATAAACATTCAGTGATGGCAAAATGCCCACATTTAAGATAGGTTATCTCTGTCTTACCCCAGATTTTTCTTAAACTATACACACACACACACACACACACACACACACACACACACACACACTTTATATATATTGTTTTAGATGGACACAATATCTTTGTTATATTTATTTTTATGTGGTACTGGAGATGGAGCCCAGTGCCTCACACATCCTATGCAAGCACTCTACCACTGAGCTACAACCCCAGCCCTACTTTTCTTGAACTTTAAGGCTCAAGTGGTCTTCTGGTCTCAGACTCGTGAGTAGCTGGGAAAACAGACACTTGTATCATTGCAACTGGCAAATGTCCACCACCTTGGTTTATCTACCCACCATCCCAATCTCTTATATGTACATATTTAAAATAATAATCTTGGGGCTGGGAATTTAGCTCAGTGGTAGAACACTTTCCTACCATGATTGAGGTCCTGGGTTTGATCCCCATCACCAAAGAATATATAAAATATTAGCCCCATGTGGTGACACATGCTTATGAATTCCAGCTAGTAGGGAAGCTGACATAGTAGGATCATAAGTTCAAGGCCATTCTGGGCAACTTAATGAGACCCTTTCTCAACATTAGAAAAAAGTGGAGGGAGATGATGCACACCTGAAATCCCAGTGGTTCAGGAGGCTGAGGCAGAAGGACAATAAGTTCAAAGCCAGCCTCAGCAATTTCACAGGGTCCCATGCAACTTAGCAAAACCCTGTCTCAGAATAAAAAAAAAAAAGGGCTGGGGATGAGGTTCAGTAGTTGAGTGCCTCTGCATTCAATCCCTGGTATGAAAAAAAAGATAGGGGGAGGGAATGGGAATGTAGCTTAGTGGTAAAACAGTTGCTTACTGTGCATGAAGCTCGGGTTCAATCCGTAGTACCACAAATAATAATAAATAAAATAAAATGATCTTCCTCAGGATTAAAGATTGGCTTGGTTTTCAGTGGTGGAGGCAGCACTGGGAACAGATTTGGAGCTTCCAGTCTAATTTTAGGAAAATTTGTTCTGTTTGTTGGAGGTAAGGGCCACAGGGCTGAATATTCCTAGAATTTTGGGCCCCAAGTTAAATTATCAACATTCCTTCCCCTCCAGTGTGTGAATGACCTAGGGCTGTAACCTGAGGCTCCACTATTCCATCTATTATCATCTCTGTCTGTATCCATATGGATCATGTGTTTATTAATATGTATTCTTTTATGATTCATGCACCATAGTATGTCTAATTTACACATATGTTTAATGTAAAAAATGCAAACTTCAAACAGGTGACTGGATACATCACCTAGATATGTATTAAATAACTCATATCAACTGTGCCAACCTTGTTCCACCTGGCCAAGCCTAATACTCCAAAACCATGAGTTTAAACATGAGAGAAACAAAGTATTTATTTTTCAAAAAATTATCAAAAGCCCAGCCATTTATAACATACATTTATTTATTTATTTCCAGTAATGGGGGCACTTTACCACTAAATTATATCCCAGCCCATTTTATTTTGCAACAGGGTCTTATAAAATTGCCCAGGCTGATCTACAACTTGGGGACCCTCCTACCTCAGCCTCTTGCATAGCTGGGATTATAGGTGTGCACAACCATGTCTGGCTCATTTACAGCTTTTGGAAGGCTTTAAACTTTGGACCTGTTTTGTCAGAGGAGTAAAACTAACATAACTTTAAAACACTATTAAAAGACCATGGGATACCATTTGACCCACTATTCCACTCCTTGGTCTATATCCAAAGGACTTAAAATCAGCATACTATAGTAACACAGCTACATCAATATTCATAGCAGCACAATTCACAATAGCTAAACTGTGGAAACAACCTAGATGCCCTTCAATAGATGAATGGATAAAGAAACTGTGGCATATATACACAATGGAATATTACTCAGCATTAAAAGAGAATAAAATCATGGCATTTGCAGGTAAATGGATGGAGTAGGATGATATCATGCTAAGTGAAGTAAGCCAATCCCAAAAAACCAAAGGCTGAATGTTATCTCTGATAAATGGATGCTGATCCAAAATGGGGAGGGGGGAGCTTGGGGAAAAATGGAGGAACTTTGGGCAAAGGGGAGGAAGGGTAGAGAGGTTGAGGGGGCAGGAAAGGAAAGATGGTGGAATGAGGTGGCCATTATTACCCTAGGGACATCATTACTCTAGACTGAACATAGGGTTGATGCCACATCATGTACAACCAGAGAAATGAAAAGTTGTGCTGCAATTGTGTACAATGAACCAAAATGAATTTTTCTGTCATATATACCTATCTTTTTTTTAAAAAGACCATGTGGTGTTCATTTGGCAATTTGTTTTGTGGGTATTTCGTGTGTTGTGTGTGTGTGTGTGTGGGCAGTAGATGCTCTATCACTGAGCCACATCACCACCGCCTTTAAAAAAATTTAAACAGGGGGGGCTGGGGATGTGGCTCAAGCGGTAGCGCGCTCGCCTGCCATGCGTGCGACCCGGGTTCGATCCTCAGCACCACATACCAACAAAGATGTTGTGTCCGCCGAGAACTAAAAAATAAATATTAAAAAATTCTCTCTCTCTCTCTCTCTCTCTCCTCTCTCACTCTCTCTTAAAAAAAAATAAAAAAAAAAAATTTAAACAGGGTCCTGTTAAGTTACCCAGTCTGGTATGTTAACTTGGTGATCCTCCCAGCAAAGCCTCCAGTTTCTGGGATTATAAGCATGCACAAGTGTTCTGTGAGATTTATGGTTTGAGACAACCAATTACCCAGTGTGCGTGTCCCACCAGCAGATCCAAATAGTATTGTTTTTTTTAAAGAATTTTTTAAGGGCTGGGGATTTGGCTCAAGCGGTAGTGCGCTCCCCTGGCATGCGTGCGGCCCAGGTTCGATCCTCAGCACCACATACCAACAAAGATGTTGTGTCCGCCGAGAACTAAAAAATAAATATTAAAAATTCTCTCTCTCTCTCCCTCTCTCAAAAAGAATTTTTTAATATTTATTTTTCAGTTTTCGGTGGACACCTTTATTTTATTTTATGTGGTGCTGAGGATAGAACCCAGCGCCCCGCGCATGCCAGGCGAGCGCGTTACCACTTGAGCCACATCCCCAGCCCCAAATAGTATTGTTTTAAGAGACTGAAAAATAAATGAATTTAAGAAGCTTTGGATTCATTCTGGCAACAGAAACATACTGGGCTTGTTAAGAGGTTAAGATGGAAACGCCCAGCTCACCAGGTGTCACATCCTGAAGTGTAGTGTCACTAAGTTCCAACCCTAAGCACCCTCCTCTGCTACTTCACAGGTGAATAGTGCGATACAATGAGGCACCGTTGGAAGTCACGCTCCAGAAACTCCTGACGTACCAGCATTGAGGAGTGATGGTTCGCGGAACCACCACCAGGCCCCAATCAGTGACTAATCAGAGTTGCCGGGGTCAAGAATGCAGGTGGGGCTTTATGCGCAGCAATTCGTTCATCCACCAATCAGAGCCCGCAGAGCTCCAGCTCCTGAGCCAATTGCCTGCTAGGGTGCGTTGAGAGCTGGTTCAAAATTTAAAAAAATAGAGGGGTGAGGTAATAAAACGGCCATTGTGAGAGAGGCTGAGGGCTGACCGAAGAGTGAGATCCGTCCAAAGTGAGTGTTAGTAGGCAGGACAGAACCCGACCTTGCGGCAAGCATGCCCGTCCCTATACATGAAGGAGATATTCCTTCACTGTATTCCATACTCCTTCCCCACAAACAAAATGGTACATTGCAAGATGGCCGACCCTTGGTAGTGGTATGCTCCATCGTGCGTTCTTCCCCACGCCCGGCGTGGTTCATTCCAGGCTGCCACACCTGAGGTCACACAGACTGGGGAATGTACTCACACGGGGATTTTTTGGACACTGCCACCGTCACATACATGGGGGTGGACATTCTGAGGGCACACAGATTGAGATGTGACTATTTCCTGACGCTACAAAAATTGGTACACGGGGCTGGGGATGTGGCTCAAGCGGTAGCGCGCTCGCCTGACATGCGTGCGGCCCGGGTTCGATCCTCAGCACCACATACCAACAAAGATGTTGTGTCTGCCAAGAACTAAACAATAAAACATTAAAAATTCTCTCTCTCTCTCTCTCTCTCTCTCTCTCTCTCTCTCTCTCTCTCTCTCTCTCTCTCTCTCTCTCTCTCTCTCTCTCTCTCCTCTCTCACTCTCTCTTTAAAAAAAAAAAAAAATTGGTACACGGAGAGTTGGTTGGACCTGAAAGTTGGATGGAGGAATGTGCGGAGGGGATTGAGTGGGTGGGAGAGTGCTGGGCAAAACGGATATTTCTTTTATTCATTTTACTCAGCTCTTTTGTTAACAACAACAAAAGCGTTATTATTCCTTATCAAACTTGGTCCTAATTGCTTTACACGAATGATCTCAGTCATAACAACCATAACTACTATTATTATCTTCACTTCGTGGGTGAAAAGACTGAGGCATTCAAAATTACCAGAAGGTACACAGCTGAGATGTGTTAGGCTGGAGGGCTTCAGATTCTAGTTTTAACTACTTGGCCAGCGCTTTTTTTCTCCACAAGTTTTGAGGCTCAAACCCAGGGCCACACACATACCAGGCAAGTGTTTTAATACATACTGTGTCACTGTGCTATACTCCCAATACTCTGAGGCAGTCTCCTTTTTTTTTTTTTTTTTTGGTTGTTTTTATTTTGAGACAGGGTCTGACCAAGTTGCTGAGGCTGATTTCAATTGGGATTCTGTCTCAGCCTCCTGAGTTGCTGAGAGTACAGGCATGTGCCCATTCTTTTTTTTTCTAACCTTTATTTATTTATTTTTGTATGGTGCTGAGGATCGAACCCAGCGACTTGCACATGCTAAGCCAGCACTCTATCGCTGAGCCACAACCTCAGCCTATTCTTACCTTTAAAACATTTTTTAAAAAATTTTCGTATTTATTTTTTAGTTGTAGTTGGACACAACACCTTTATTTCACTTGTTTTTTTATGTGGTGCTGAGGATCAGACCCAGGGTCTCGGCACTTGCGAGGCGAGGGCTCTACTGCTGAGTCGCAACCCCAGCCCCACATTCTTACCTTTATAGATGTCTCTGCTTTTCTATGCAGACCCAGTCCTCACCTACCCCCACCAGGACTGAGAGATCCCAAAATACCATTTGTCCATAGCTTCAGTGAACAGTATGGACAACTCTATGGGAGGAGACTGGACCTCTGGCACTCATGAGTTGTGTTTCTTCTCCTTTTCCTCTGGCAGGGGGAGTGAAGAAAGGACAGGGAAGCCTTGTTGGAAGAGGACAGTAAACCATAGAATAGATACCTAGACTTTACAGTTTTCTCCTCATTGCTTGCAGGGTCTTGTTCTAGGTAGTGGGGATACTGCAGTGAACAAGACAGGGTTCTGTTCCTGCCTGCCCTGGAGGTGTGTTTTGGGATTCCTGATAGGCAGATTCTGGTTTTCACCATGATGATGCTTTGGCATTCAATGGGCTTGGGCCTGATTTTGGCAGCAGCCTCACACAAGAATGGTAACATACATGAATGTCACTTCAGGATGATAAAAAGAGGCCTCCAAAAATGTTTCTTATTAAAAGTGAGCACTTCAGGCTGGGGTTGTGGCTCAGTGGTTGAGAGCTTGCCTAGGATGCCTGAGGCACTGGGTTTGATCCCCGGCACTCCATAAGAAAAATAAAATAAAATAAAGATATTGTGTCCATCTACAACTAAAAAGAATTTTTAAAAAAATGTAAGCACTGGGTCTGAGGGGTTGGAAATGATGCTCCCTTAGATTGTTCCTGACCATAGGAGGTACCCCACAGTTGTGGATACCAAGGGCCAGGAGTGGCAGGAAGGTAAGGGGAGCAGGATGGTGTGGTAATGTTAATTTTGCCAACTTAGCCTCAGTTTGATCTTAAAGAAAAGCAACTGAACTCTCCCCATGCCAAGATCTCCATCATGTAATGGGGATCAAAGTGTGGAAGACCCCCATATCTTATTACCTATTCAGAGCTTGAGGTGTGAGGATCAATATCTTGTAAGCAATATCTTTCCAAAATACAGTGGTTACTAGCTGGTCATGGGTGGCATATACCTGTAATCCTAACTATTTGGGAGGGTGAGACAGAAGGATTGCAGAAGGATTGCCCATTAAGATGGGCAACTTAGCGAGAATCTGTCTCAAAAAGTAAAAATATCTGGGCATGTAGCTCAGTGGTAGAACCCTCTGGGTTCAACTACCAATAACACAAAAAAGCGCGTGTGTGTGTGTGTGTGTGTATGTGTGTGTATTGCGGTCTCTTGGTACCTGTGGGGGATTAGTCACAGGCACCCTCTCCCTTGGATACCAATATCCTGGGATGCTCAAGTATATTTTGTAAAATGGTATAGTGTTTGCGTATAACCTATACATATCCTCCATATACTATAAATCCCCTTTAGGTTACTTATAATGCCTAACACAACATAAATGCTATGTAAATAGTTGTTACATTATATTGTTTAAGAAATAGGGGCAAGAAAAATAGTCTGTGTGTGTTCAGTACAAATGCTGTTTATTTCCAAAATATCTTTTGATTCTTGTTGCTTAAATCCATGGATATGGAAGGAGGACTGTAAAACAAAATAAGCACAAGCCGACTCAAAGGACCTTTAGCAACCAGTTTTTCTGCACCATAAACAAAAGGCAGATTTGACAAGCCTCCTTACTTTGTGCAAACATCTCTGAAGGTAACAAGTCCTGTCCTCAAAATGAGGGATCAGGCCTCCTCTCAAGGGGAAACATTGAAAGCTCAATGATCTTTCAGGGAAACCAGGTATTCTGCCGAGGGCTAGGTGTTCAAAAGGGCTAAACTCACAAACTTTAGAGCTCATTTTCAATTGTGCGTTCAGTAGAAACACTAATTCCATGAAATCTGAAGCTGATAAAAATCTGTTTTTTATTTTAGTATTCTGGCCCATGAAGGAGATGGAGAGAATGTCTGAAATGGCTTGCCAGACCACGTTACAGGGCAGACACAGAGGACCAGTGCCATTTATTCCCCAGGGAGCTTTTGCTCCTCCTGAGATGAATGGTTACCAAGATTGGTTTATTATGATTTCAAGAGGGGAGGAAGAAGACATTTTGTTTGGGTGAAGCACATCATATAGGAAAGTAATTATGGGAAATGTCATGGTGGGAACCCTCCTCCCCTAAGATTAAATGTACATATGCCTAGAGTCCAAGCTACTAAGACTGAGGTAGGGGGACTGTTTAAGACCAGGACCTTGGGACAACCTGGGCAACATGGCTAGACTGTCTCCAAAAACAAAATAAAAAAAATTAAGTCAGCTTGGAATTCTGTGGACATTGTGTACAATCCCAATTAGGAATGGAGAACAAGAGGTGAGGGTTGCTTCCCACTGTCTGCCTGTTTGGTCAATCCTGAAAACAGATGAATTTTTGAATTAGGGATGACATATTAAATTGGTCTGTAACAACTATTTCATGCCATGGCTACTATATTGGAAGATTTTTTAAAATCATCCCTACTAGGCACATGACCATTTTTTCTATACCTGTTCATTTTGGCTATGAACTCCAGTTTGTCTTTGCTCAGCAGGGACCGAAATTTATTGCTGACTTCCAACCTGAAAACCTCCTGTCTCAATCTCTGGAGTAGCTGGGAATATAAGGTGTGTGCCCCTGCACCAGGATAGTAATTTACATTATGATTTATACTGTCATTTGCAGTGCTGGGGATGGAACCCAGGATCTTATGAATCCCAGTCCAGAAGCTACCATTGAGCTACAACCCAGCCTCAATTTATCTTTATTATCCATTCTAGGCTGAGTGTTCGTATGATACTCAGACAACCACCTTCTGCCTATCATTTCTTTTCACCAGTGGCCTAGATCTAAGTCAAATACAAGTTATCACAATAATTACTTAACAATTAGGTATGATTTAGAAACAATTGTTTCTAAAACTGTGATGTCTCTGGCTGATTTGTGTATCTCAGGTGATCAAACACGTTCAGGATTCTCTGACAATAACTTTTCTTCATTGTGGTGCTGGGGAACAAATTAAGGGTCTCACACATGCTACCTATGCAAGTGCTCCCAGACTGAGTCAGACCCACAGCTATTTTTATTTCTGAAACAAGCTCTTGCTAAGTTGCCAGGCTGGCCTCTAATTTGCAATCCTCCTGCTTCAGCCTCTGGAGTAGCTGGAGTTACAGGCATGTGCCACCTGGCCCCACTAACAATAGCCTTTTGAGAACATAATTACCTGGAAGAAGCAAAGAAATTTTACCTGAGTCAAGCAACACTTTTTACCACCAGGCAAAAGGTTTGGGACTAAAATAGGGGCCCATTAGTGAACTGGCTCCTTTATAAATTAGAACTCACAATTCCATCTGTAGATAGAAGCCTCCCTTCTTCTTGACTTGCATCAACAATTTGTTCACATATTATATGAATACACAGGGGCTGGGGCTGGAGCTCATCGGTAGAGCACCTGCCTAGCATGTGTGAGGCACTGGGTTTGCTTCTCAGCACCACATAAAAATAAATAAATAAAAATAAAGATATTGTGTCCAACTACAACTAAAAAATATTTTAAAAAACAATATGAAAACACATACACACACACAATTTGCTGAGGATAGTTTCTGGGAATCTGTCTTGACCGTGAGTTAAACAGAACCCACTGCTACAGTTCTCAGTGTTATTAGTTGGTTTATCTCCACTATGATGAAATACCTGAGATAAGTAACTTTTTACAAGGAAAGGTTTATTTTGGCTATAAGTTTTGAAGGTTCCAATCCATAACTGACTGGCCTCATTGCATGGGGCCTGTGGCAAAGCAGCATATCATGGGGGAGGGGGGGGTTATATAGTGGAGCAAAAGTACTTACCTCATGAACCAGGAACAAAAGTGAGAAAACGGGAGCCCAGAGTCCCACAATCCCCTACAAGGGCATGCCCCCAATAATTCAAGGACTTCCCACGAGGCCTCAACTCTTAAAAGTCCAGAGCACCTCCCAATAGTGCCACCCCAAGGACAAGGCCTTTGACACATGGACTGTTGGGGGACATTTGACTTCTAAACTGTAGCACTCAGGAAGTTCTTCAGAGATGTAGCATTATAGATTCCATAGTGTCTATCAGGGGATGGACTTCATAATTTCTATATGATAAGAATGAATTCATGATTATCTGGGTCATTTAACTTGTCTACTATAGCCTGAGCAGGGAGGTTAGGCTGGGAAATGAAATAGTTCCTACCTCAGCAAGGTTCCCACCTTACTTCCAAATTATAATTTCATCTACTAAATATTTAAAATGGTTTTTATTATTTACTCAATTCTGGTAAATATTGGGTTTGTTTCCAGTTTCTTTTCTGGTCCATTCATCCATTTCCCTGTCCCTGCCCTGCAGGACTGCACTGCAAGGGAGAATGGAGCAATTATCTTCTTGTATTCCTGAAGGCAACTTTGTCAGACAGTACAAAACTGGCAACAGCCTATGGGATGGTAGTGGTCCCACGGGTCAGTCTTCATCTGAGTCACTTGGGCCCATATATTGGCAGACAGCATCATAGTGAAGCTCTACCAACTGCTTATCTCTCCGCAGTTGCACCAAAGCCCGGCTCTTTGCTCGGTCTCGGCTCAGCAAGTGTCCCACCTGGAGCAAGTGTGAGATGAAGTTAGCAAGGCCAGCCCAGACCCTGGAACACCCTTTGAATGATCCCACTTCCAGTTTTGGGACTTACTCTTCCAGCCTGTGGCCCCAGTACCACCATCACACGGTTGCCCTCTACCTTGGGAACCAGGGTCTCCAGCATGTCTTCCCTCAGGCCTGCAAATGGGGGAGAAGAGAGTGAGGCCTGCAGCAAGGGCCAGCCTAGCCAGGTCTCCCAGAAGGGCCTTTTACATATTCCCTAGAGCCACTTTTCATCCTGTTGATAGATAAGGTGCCACCAAATCCACTGAACAAGTGAGGAAGCCTAGGGAGCAATTCATAGAAATAATTGTAAAAAAGGCTGGGTGCAGTGTGCATGCCTGCAATCCTAGTGAGCTGAGGATGTAGTTCAGTGGCAAAGTATCTCTGGTTTCTCCTATGTTCATGTATGTATACACGACCAGTGTAACTCCACATCATGATCAACCACAAGAATGGGATCCAAAATTAGAATAAGTTGTACTCCATGTATGTGTAATATATCAAAATATATTCTACTGTCATATATATCTAAAAGGAATAAATTAAAAAAAAATTTAAAATCTCTGTTTTCGATCTCTAGTACCAAAAAAGAAAAAAAGAAATAAAAAAGGAGCACTAATATACAGTATGTTTGTTTGTTTAGTACTAGGGGTGAAACCCAGGTCTACATCACCAATCCTTATTTAAAAATTTCATTTTGGGGTTGGGAATATAGCTCAGTTAGTACTAAGTTGGTACTAAGTTGCTAGCCACAGCCCAGACCCTGGAACCTACCTTTGTCTATGCTGTGTGTGTGTGTGTGTGTGTGTGTGTGTGTGTGTTGCTAGGGGTGGAACCCAGAACCTTGCACATCCCATGCCTGGGCAAGATTCTTGGCCTCAGATATTCAACCTCCAGGATGTGAATGCCCCAGCTGCCATGGCTCAGACTCACCTTCTAGGATTCGGCCTTCATCTGTCCGACACACACAGGTGTCTGGGCTCAAGACATCTTCAATTGTCATCTAGGAGATGGGTGAAGAAAATGAAAGATGTTTAGAGAGGTAAGGGGCCCAGTCCCTGGGTAAGGAAGGGTTCCTAAATCTGTGGTCTTTGCACCTTGGTGTTGTAATACTGGCCACCCTTGTGTAGCTTGTCCACAAACCGCACACGCAGGTCCCTGTGTAACCAGTGCTGGGTCATGGGGGTTGCTTTCTTATTCTTGGCTGCAGGCCCATCATTCCTGTGGAGAGAGGGCCAGCACCAGCATTAGATCTTTATCACACACATGTTCCAGACACCCTACCTTTGTCTAAGCTGTGAAACCCACTCATACTGCTGTTGCTAGTTATATCTCTGCACCCTCTTTGCACCAGAAGCCCTCTCTCTGTGCTTAAGCCTCCCCACAACCCTGTCTTCTTCCTCCTCCCCAGATGCCCAGAGTCTCACCGGTCTGGAGGGTGTTTCCGCTTCCTCTCTGAGTCTTCCCAGCGGACATGGAGGTCTTGATTCTGGAGGGCCTTCCGTGATGAGCCTGTTCCATTCTGTTGTCCCAGTGAAGTTCTGCTCACCTGGCCTGTTCAAGGGGGTGAAGGGAAAGCCAGAAAGAACCTCACTATCTTTTTTTTTTTTTTTTTTTTTTTTTGCTGGTAGTGGGGAATGAACCCCTGGGTGCTTAACCACTAAGCTACATCTCCCATCTTTTAAAAAACTTTTTTTTTTTTTTTTTTGAGACAGGGTCTTGCTAAGTTGCTAAGGCTGATCTTGAACTTGTGATCTTCCTGCCTCAGCCTCTTGAGAAGCTGGGATTATAAATGTAAACCACTGCACCCAGCTCTTACTGCCCTTTCCAAGGCCACATTTTACCCTAAGGCCATCTCCCACCTGCCAAAACACCCCTCTCCCCATTGTGTCTTTGCCGGGGCTATAAGAATGCTTTTCCCCTTGTGCTGCACCGTTTTGGCATCCTTCAGGAAGCTTTTCTTAATCACTCAGCCAATGCCAAGTGTTCACCAGAAGTAGCCATCTAGTGTGCACTACAGAACCCTGGAGAGCTACCATCATCCATCTGCCAAATCCCTCCTACTGTCATGCCTTTACCTGGACTACTCTGCCAGCCTCCTTTTGGTTACACCCTAACTGTAGGTCTCCCTTCCTAGCAAAAGACAGTGACATCATCCCCGATAGACAAGGACCTCCAGAGAGCAGGAATTATTTTCCACACTCATTTCTTTCTCCTTAGAGAGAGGCCAAAGACCTAGGGGTACTAGATCAATCTTTCTTCAATTTCACTGAATAAACTGGGCTGGGGTGTCACTCAGTGGTAGAATACCTGCTGAGTATGCAGGAAGCCCTGGATACTAGCACCAACAAACAAAAATATGAATAAACTCTTCATGTTCTGACCTCTGACCAGAAGTAAACCAGCCAGGCAGACCACTGCCCATGGCCTCTGCAGATCAAAAACCCACCCAACAAGACAGGCCTTGCTGACCTCCAGTGTTCCTCCAAATCCCCCATCTATGAAAGTGGCTCACTCACCAATATGCAGGGAGTTTCTGTCAAACTCCTGCTGGGAAACAGGTCGCAGACAGTACTCACTAACAGTCACCATGCGGCTGCCGACAGCTAGACGGACCATGGCCCGCACATTGTCAGGATCTAGGCCTTCCACCTAGAGTCAGGAGAGGGAGAAGTCAGAGAGGGGTTGAATGGACCCCATCCACCTAGGACCAAGTTGTCCACCCATTACTTCCAATAGACTTGAGTCCTGTGTGTCTCTCCCACCAGGCTATGACCTGTGAAGGCTGAGAACAGGTCTGGTTCCTCTGTCTCTTCTACTAATCTATGATCCCTAAGAACTGGGACCAGGCTGTGTTCCTCTATCTGTCTCAGCAGACTGTTCAGCTCAAATATTCTTTAAGCATTGAATCCTCAAGTACCCTGTGGCATTTGACATTTCTCTCTTCTTTGGCTAGGAACTGAGACTCATAAAAACCCATCAAATGGTCCTGTTACCTAGTGAGACAGTGGGTGAAGCAGGCCTGAAAGACTACGACTCTGAGCCTTTGTACTCCAAACCCAATTATTTATTTATTTTTTGGTCAGGCACATACCCACAGGGCCATATCCCAAGGCCCTTTTTAATATTTTTTATTTAGAGATAGGGTCTCATTAAGTTGTTTAGGGCCTTGCTAAATTGCTAAGACTGGCTTTGAACTCATGATCCTCCTGCCTTCTGCCTCCCAAGCTGATGTGATTACAGGCGGGCACCACTGCTTCCAGCGCCAAACCTAATTCTTCCTCCCTTTGGCCTTCAAATTCATCTTCCCTGCTTGAGCTCCAGGGATATCTTGGTTAATTACCTTTCCATAGAGGCCTCGGTGAGGGCCAGAAAGAACCATCACTGCTCCTCCAGGCACGAGCCCTTGAGGCTGGTCTTCCTTATCTTTTTCTTGCTCCCCATCTGGCCTCAGTAGGGTGTTCGAGCCAGTGGAGGCCAAGGCCTGGGCCTCAGTCAAGTTTGCACCCAGCCCTAACCCCTTGGGCCTCAGTGAATTGACACGGGGCTTCACTACTCTGTAGAAAGGAATACAGGGTTGTGGAGAGATGCAGTAGTCTTTAGTGCCTCATTTTACCCCCCATCATCCAAACCCACCCCATCAATATTATCAACAATATCATTTCCAACCTCACATTAGGACTGGAGTTTTTGTGGTACCATGGTCTTGTACATGCTAGGCAAGTGCTCTAATCCTAAGCTATATCCTCAGCCCTTATCTTTATTTATTTATTTATTGGGTACCAGGGATTGAACTCAGGGGCACTTAACCACTGAGCCACATCCCCAGTCCTATTTTCTATTTCATTTACAGACAGGGTCTCATTGAGTTGCTTAGTGCCTCGCTTTTGCTGAGGCTGCTTTTGAACTCATGATCCTCCTGTCTCAGCCTCCCAAGCTGCTGGGATTACAGGTGTATGCCAGCACCACCCGGTCTTATCTTTATTTGTTTTTATTTATTGATACTAGAGATTGATCCCAGTGCCTCATGCATGCCAGGAAAGTGCTCTACTACTGAGCTACACCCCCAGCTTTAGGAATTCTTTTCAGGTTTTTAAAATAACTTTTACTTTTTAAAAGTTAATATGTGTATTATAGGACCTAGGAATTTTTTGACATATAAAAACAGCAATTCTTTTTTTCTTTTTTGGGGTGCTAGGGATTGAATTCAATGCCTGTATTACAGGACCTAGGAATTTTTTGACATATAAAAACAGCAATTCTTTTTTTTCTTTTTTTGTGGTGCTAGGGATTGAATTCAGTGCCTCACACATGTTAAGCACATGCTGTATCACTGAAATACACCCCTAGCACTCAAAAGGCATTTTTATTTGGTTCAACCTAATAACAACAGTGCATACACTCTCTATTACCTAGTATTTATAGTGAGGTCTAAGCCAGGTCCTTGTAACCAAATACACTAATAGTTCTACAGAAGAATCATAAGAATATGAATACCAAGCAGGGGAAACAGGCTTATCAAATGTTCAACACTAATTCCAGTCATTTGGCTGCCAAATGGGGGTTTATGGAAAAAAAAAAGTTTGGTTTTCAGGATTCTTTGGAATTTTCAATTACAAAGAAGGGATTATAAATATACGTGATAGTATCAAATGTTTAGTCTATGCTTACTGTGGGCCAGGGCCCACTGTACATGCTTTATGAATATAATTTCATCTAACTCTCAAAATGGACTTGTGGGGCTGTGGATATAGTTCAGTTGGTAGAGTGCTTGCCTTGCATGCACAAGGCCTTGGGTTCAATCCCCAGTACCACAAACAAACAAAAACCAGACTTGTAAAGTCAGTACTATATTAACCCACTTTTCAGATGAGGAAACTGATTGTCAGAAGTGAATTTTATATAATTAGGATCTACTTGTGGAGTTTTAAAGGGAAATAGGAAACTTAAAGAGTAGAAGGGGCTACTTAGAACTAGTGATAATGTATCCTCTTTCACTGTCTGGATAGTTCTGGATTGGCAGAAGCTTTGGGGATCTTGTTCACAGTCCATCCATCAATCCCCTCCCCCCTACTCCATAACTCACTGATTGAAAGTGCGGCCGATGCCCTCACCAGGTTTCCAGCCCATGCCCCGCAGCATGGCCAGCCCATAGGCCTCGACAGGGACTGCCTCATAATCAGCTTCCTCTGGCACCTGTATATTCAGACAAAGGAAGGATATAAGGCTTTGCTTATGGAGGGCCATCTGCTGGAAATGTACTTGCTGTCATCCACTGGGTGACCCTCTATGCTTCTAGCCCTTGACCAGTTATCTCAGGGCAGAGGTTTTTTTGTTTTGTTTTGTACCAGGGATTGAAGCCAGGTGCACTTAACCACTGAGCCCATCCCCAGCTCTTTTTTTTTTTGTACTGGGAATTGAACCCAGGGCCACTCAACCACTGAGTCACATCCCCAGCCCTTTTCTGTATTTTTTAACACATATTTTTTAGTTGTAGGTGGACACAATACCTTTATTTTATTTTTATGTGGTACTGAGGATTGAACCCAGTGCCTCATGCATGCCAGGCGAGTGCTCTACTGCTGAGTCCCAGCCCCAGCCCCCTAGCTCTTTTTTATATCTTATTGAGAGACAGGATCTTGCTGAATTACTTCATGCCTCACTAAATTGCTAAGGCTGGTTTTGAACTTGCAATCCTCCTGCCTCAGCCTCCTGGGCCGCCGGGATTACAGGCATGTGCCACCACATCTGGCATCAGGGCAGAATTTTTATTTCCTCTCACTTTACTCCTCCTCTGATTCAGTCCTTCAACAAATATTTGCAAAACACCTATTCTGTGGCAAGTACTAATCTTCTTGGCAAGTGCTGAGAGGAAGCAGTGAAAAAAACAGAAAAAAATCTCTGCTTTTGTGGGACGTATATTCTAGTTGTCAAGACATACAATAAATCAAATCCAGAAAGCATGATACATTAGGTAATAATAATTTGGGGGGGAGGTACTGGGGATTGAACCTAGGAGTATTTTACCACTAAGCCACATCTCCAGCTCTATTTTTTGAGGCAGAGTCTCACTAACTTTCTAAAGCTGGCCTTGAACTTGCAATCTTCCAGCCTCAGCTTCCTGAATCACTGGGATTATATACCTGTGTCAATTATCCTGGCTTATTATTAGATGGCGAGTTTTACAAAGAAAAATTAAAGTAGTGCTGGACACAGTGATATGTGCCTTTTGTTTCAGCTGCTGAGTGAACTCAAGGATCACTTGAGTTCAGAAGTTTTGTGGCCAGCCTGGGCAACACAGCAAGATGCAGTCTCCAACAACAAACAAACAAAGGCAGGTTAAGGGGATGCAGAGAAACAGAGAGGGAGTCCTACTATGGTGGCATTTAAGCAGAGATGGGAAGAGCCATGAGGATATGAGAAGGAAGTGTTCCAAGAAGAGAGAACAGTAGGCCCTGAGGCAGGGCAAGATTTGGTATGTGTGATCAATATCATGAAACACAATGTGATTGAAACAAATGTAGAGCCAGAAAAGAGATGGTTAAGAGATTAATGAAGAGAACTGAGCAGGAGCCAGACAGTCTCCAGTCAGGTGGAAACCACAAGAGGGAAACCACAATAGTCCAGATGAGAGATTCTGGTGACTCAGCCCAGCATGTTGGTAGTGGTAATGGTGAGAAATGGTCAATTCTAGATGTACTTTGAAAAGGGACATGGTGGGGTTGAACTGAAAGACTGTATATGGAGTATGAAATTGAGGGGAATTAAGGATGATTCCCAAGATTATTTATTTTGGTACTAGGGATTGAACTCAGAGGTGCTCTACCAATGACCTACATCCCCAGTCTTTTTTACTTTTTATTCATTTTATTAATTATGTGTTTTGTTCTAGGGATTAAAGCCAGGGGCACTTTACCATGGAGCTACATACTTTGCCTGTTTTATCTTTTAATTTTGAGACAGAGTCTCCCTAAGTTGCTGAGGCTTTCCTCAAATATGTGATCCTCCTGCCACAGCCTCCAGAGTTACTAGGATTACAGGTAGGTACCACAACTTCTAGCAAGGTCAAGAATTTTTTTATGTTTGCTTTTTTGTTAGGAATTGACTGCAGGGGCACTTTATTACTGAGCTACATCCGTAGCCCTTTTTTATTTTTATTTTGAGACAGAGCCTCATGAAATTATTGACAGCCTCACTTAATTCCTGGGACTGGCCTTGAACTTGCACCCCTCCTGCCTCAGCCTCCCAAGTTATAATCCTATTACAGACATGTGCCACATCAGGCTACTTCAAGATTTTTAAGCTGAGATGAAAGATGTATGGAGCTGTGATCAATTGAGACATAGACAGTTTGGGGAGGAGGCTTTAGAGAAATGAAGCCAAAGCTGGAACAGGAAAAAGAGTGAAGTGAGGGTTGGGGACATAGATCAGTAGTAGAGCACTTGCTTAGCATGCACAACACCCTGGATTCTATCCTCTGCATAAAAAAAAGAAAAGAAGTGAAATGAAATAGTGAGATTCTTTTTAAAAAAAACATTAAATAAATCAAGGCACATCTAAAGGCTAATGAGAATAGTTCAACTGAAAGAAAGAGTGGTTTGAAGCTGTAGGAATAGGCACCAAGAATCATTGCAAAAAACTTATAAATGAAGAGATGGAAAGTTGGGTCCATGCCACATACAGTGGTGCATGCCTATAATCCCAGTGATTTGGGAGGCTGAAGCAGGAGGATCACAACCTCAAGGCCAGCTTCAGCAACTTAGTTAGACCCTGTCTCAAAAAATAAAATAAAATAAAAGGAGTGGGGACATAGCTCAGTGGTAAAGCTCCCCTGTGTTCAATCCTCCACACCAAAAAAAAAAAAAAAAAAAAAAAAAGTGGGGTCCAGGGGTATGAAAGACAGACTTTGGTTATTTCCATGGACACACCTCTCATGTCTCCTGTTGTCACCTCCCACTGTCACTCTTTTAATCCATTACAATTTCTCCAGAGGCACCACAAGTTGCCTCACTGGTGAACACACACCACACTTATTTCCTCTCACTGTGCCATTGCTTGTGCTGTTGATTCCATTAAGAGTTACTCCCTGGGCTGGGCACGGTGGCCCATTCCTGTAATCCCAGCAGCTCAGGAGGCTGAAGCAGGAGGGTCACAAACTCAAGATCAGCTTCAGCAACTTAGCAAGGCCCTAAGCAAATCAGTGAGACCCTGTCTCTAAATAAAACATAAAAAAAGGGCTGGAGATGTGGCTCAGTGGTAGAGCACCTCAGGGTTCAATAAAAAGTACTCCCTGGGTTCTTCTGTCTCTCACTAAACCCTATCTATCTTTCTAGGGCTCCCTCTTTCCATTCTGATGGCATCCTCATAATCTCTATCATGGACTATTGTTTCCCTTGCTTCCACCTTCACTTGCTAGTCTGTTCTATTCACAGCAGCCAGAGGGATCCTGTCAAATTACGAGTCACAACCCTTTCCTGCTCAGGGCCTGCCCATGGCTTTCATCTCACTTAGAGTAAAACCCAAAGTCTTCACCCTGGCTAAGGCCCTGCTTGGTCTAAACCCCTCTGCCTTCATCTACTGTCACACATCCCACTCTAGCCACATTGATCTGCTTGGTTTTTCTCAAACACTCCGGCCAAAAAAAGAAAGAAAGAAAGAAAGAAAGAAAAGAAAAAGAAAAAGAAAATAAGAGAGAGAAAAATCAAACACAAAAATCACTCCAGGCAGTGTGTGCCCTTATGGCCTTTACATTTCTTATGCCTTTTAATCTCCATCTTATTCAGATAATCCCAGAATTCAAGTACTTTTTTCATCCCCCAGTTATCTATTCATTTATGCTTCCAAAAAGAATGGAAGGAGGAAAGGATGGGCAGAAGTCTTCTGGGACACACACAGATTTCCTATGCTATGTATGGGGTGGCAAGCCTGGCAGTCTCAGCAGAGAGGCTGTCAGGAAGAGGGGCAAGGGGCAGCTCACTGTCTCAGCCTGGGGTTCGCTGTCTTCCTCTTTCCTGTTGGGGGTGCATCCTTTCTGGATCATGGGGATAGCAAGCCTGGGGTCGACACCCGCATTCTCTCTCTCCTCCAGAGACTTCTTGGATTCTAAGGAAGAATGGGAGGGAGCAATGAGATCCCACCCTATCCTTCCACCTTCCTCACCTCTTCCTTCACTGGCTCTGGGCAAAGGGGGAAGGTCACTCACCCTCAATGAGTTCCTTCACTGCCTGGGACAGCACTCCATCCACCAAGGCCTCAGTATCTGTGGATGGCCCAGTCATCTGGGCCAGTGGCTGCCTTCGATAGCCATTCTGGATCAATGGGATGACCAGCTCTTTGGGGGCTTCTGTGGGCTTCACACTGGTGTGGACACAGAGGAGTGAGATTGGGAGAGTAGTATTATTGGTGAGTTCTGAGTCACACTCCTCATTCATGGAAATACAAGAGTCAAACTCACTCCCAGCCCTATGGACCACGCATTTCTTTCTGTTTTCTGTTTCTCAGGTTATGTCTCTGACAATGCATTGATTGGATTCTCTCCCACAGTTCTCCCAACTCTTAAATATCAGTGTCTTCCAGGAATTATTCCCAGATTCTCACTGATTCTTTTCTGGAGGTCTCAGGCACTTTGGAGTCTCCTTTACTAACTAAGCTGAAGATGGCCTCCCTTAACTTGCATCTGCGGCTCCATCCCATTCTCCAAATTGGAAAGAGGCCCCAATATTTCAGTTGAGTCACTAAGAACCCTGTTATGTTCCCCTCCTTTCCCTTTCTCAGAACACCCACACCGCAGTGTCCCCAAGTTCTAAAATTCTCCCTCCTGATAATGTATCATCTCAATTCCCACAGCCATCAAGCCCAATTTTCCTACCTCTCCTACAAACACCCCCTTCTCGGCTCCATCAATTTACTCAGCATTTCAAGGTCACTGAAACAGGACAATCAACTTAGATTCCACCCTCCCGCTTGCGCCCACTGCACCGATTCCCACGGGTTCAAAGACGCGATTCACCTCTGCAGTTCCCTGTCTTCCACAGTCTTCAAGAAATCCTTCTCTGGGGCCGACCTCTCGCCGTCTTTCGGGTCCACAAGACGCCTCCGGGTGGACGTGCGAGTGAAGCCGAATGAAATTGGAGCAGTTGAACCTGCAGCTGACGGCAAAGCATCATCTTCTGCGTCCGCCATCTTGCCCGGGTTCCCAGGTTGGCGCAATGCTTGCTGGGAAGTTTAGTTTCGATTAAATTCGCTAGCGGCTGGCCGATGAGTAGTAGAACTACCTTTCCCATAAAACATTGCGGCTTCGTCAGGCGAAGGCCGACTAGGGGCCGTGGGAAGCAATCGTCGCTATCTTAAGCTTCTCAGGAGCAAGCCGAGCCTAACCTATAAGGAAACTGTCTTTATGAAAGTAGTCCTGATGGAATATCGATTTATCCTTCCCAGGTATTGAGTCTTTTCATGTGTTTGACAGGTATTTACTATTGGGTGCGCATTACTGTGCCCTATTGATGTAGGAAGTATAGAGGAAATAACTCATTAATAAACAATCTCAGATCGGGCGCAGTGGCACAAATCTGTAATCCCAGCGGCTCGGAAGGCTGAGGCAGGAGGACTGCAAGTTCCAGCCCCGCCTCAGAAATTTAGTGAGACCTTGTCTCCAAAAAAAAAAAAAAAAGAAAGAAAGGAAGAAAGATCCAGGCTGGGATGTGGCTCAAGCGGTAGGGCGCTCGTCTGGCATGCGTGCGGCCCCGGGTTCGAACCTCAGCACCACATACCAACAAAGATGTTGTGTCCGCCGATAACTAAAAAATAAATATTAAAATTCTCTCTCTCTCTCATTCTCTCTTAAAAAAAAAAAAAAAAAAAGATCCGGATATGTGGCTCATTGGTTAAGCACTCCTGGGCCCAGTCCCCCATACTAAAAGAAAAAATGCCCAAGGCCCTGGGTTGTTGGGTTCTCTAGCCTAGCAAAACAAAACAAAAAAAGCTGGGCACGATAGCCCAGGTCTGGAATTCCAGGTAATCTGGAGGCAGGAGACCAAAACAAGGAGGATCACAAACTCGAGGCCAATCTGGGCAAATTGGTAAGACCCTGTCTCAAAAATGAAAAAATAAACTCTGAGAATGTAGCTCAGTAGTAAAGCACCTTGGGTTCAATTCCCAGTACTGAATAAAAAAAGACGAAAAAAATCAGGGTTGGGCTGGAGATGTAGCTTAGTGGTAGTGGTAGAGCACTTTCCTATCATGGGCAAGGCTCTAGGCAAATCCAGCCCAGCAAAACAAAGACAAAAACTCAAAACACACAAGAAACCCAAACCTCAGTGAGCAGCATTTGTATAGAAATAAGAAGATATATATATATAGAGGGGGGGTAGGGAGCCAGGTGTGGCAGGGCACACCTTTAATCCCAGCAGCTAGGGAAGTTGAGGTAGGATGATTGAAAGTTCAAAGCCAGCTTCAGCAATATAGCAAGATCTTGTCTCAAAATAAAAAATAAAAACAGCTGGGGGCGCTGGAGTTGTGGCTCAGTGGTAGAGTGCTGGCCTCACATGTGTAGGCACTGGGTTCAAGTCTCAGCACTGCATATAAATAAATGAATGAAATAAATATTTTTAAAAAAAACAGCTGAGGATGTGGCTCAGTGGTTAAGCACTCCTGGAGTCAATCCTCATGTCCAAAAATTTTTAAAAAAAAGGAGGAAGAAGAAGAAATTAAAAAAGAGAAGCACTCCTAGAATAGTTGCATGAAGAACTTAGACATTTTTCCCAGCAAACTAACCATAACCAGTGAATATTCTTTTAAAAAGAACAATCATTTAGCTGGGTGTGGTGGCACACACCTGTAATCCTGGCAGCTAGAGAGAATGAGACAACCATCAGATTTGAAGCCAGCTTCAACAACTTAGAGAGACTGTAAGCAACCTAGTGAGTCCCTGTCTCAAAATTTTTTAAAAAGTAAAAAGGGCTGGGGAAATGGCTCAGTGGTTTTTTTTTTTTTTTTTTTTTTGTAGAAAAAAAATCAGTGGAGGACAGAGGATTTTGAATGTCCTCAACACAAAGAAATAACAAATATTCAGATGTTGGATATGCTTCTTATCTTGATCTGTAAAGTTGGCACCGTTACATTTTGTGTACATGTATCGAAATAACACATTGTGCTCCATAAATGTACAATTATTATATCAGTTAAATTTCTTAAATGTTTTAAAAATTAGTGGAGGTTAACAGAAGGATGTGATATCAAGACCAGATAGAAACTCAACAGCAAGGTCAAGGGGGGAAATGAAGAGAATCTGGTTAAAAGCTAAGTCATCTCTTACACTTATGCTCAAGGCTGAACCTTCTGAAAATTTGATTAAGAATCTGAACATGCATTTCTCCAGAGAAAATATATGGATGCCCTTTAAGCACAATGAAAAATGCTTAAAATCTGTATTAGTTTTCTAATAATGATTCATCAAATGACCCCCATACTTACTGATTTAAACAAATGTATTATCTTACAGTTCTGTAGGGCAGAAATTTCATCAGGCTAAAATCAAGATGTCAGCATGGCTGCATTCCTTCTGCAGGTTCTAGGGGTCAATCAATTTGCTTGCCTTTTCCAATTCTACCTGCTGCCTAAATCCCTTGACTTCTGGCCCCTTCCTCTATATTAAAAACAGTGCATTAGGGGCTGGAGTTGTGGCTCAGTGGTAGAACACTTGCCTAGCATGCCTGAAGCATGGGGTTCGATCACAGATACCACATAAAAATAAACAAGTAAAATAAAGGTACTGTGTCATCTAAAACTTAAAAAATTAAAAATTAAAAAAAATTAAAAAGCAGTTCATTAGCATCTTCAAAATTTTTCTCTCACTCCTGATTCTGTTGTCAAATTCCCTTCTCTGATCCTCCTGAACCCACTTTCTTTTCTCCTTTTTGTGGTGCTGAGGATTGAACTTAGGGCATTGCACCACTGTGCTATACTCTCAGCCCTCTTTCATATTTAAGGACCTCTTTGATAATATTGCCTCCCAGAATAATCTCCTCATTTCAAAATCCTTAATTTAGTCACATTTGCAATGTATATTTTGCTATACAAGGTAATGTTCACAGGTTCTTAAGATTGGGTTGTGGACAATTTGGGGGGCTCCATACTCTGCCCATCAAATCATGTTTATCTAAAGCACATAAAGACTTAATTATCTATTTAGAAAATGAAAATCTATTACAATGACATATAAATTCACAAATCCACTAGGATGTCCACCTTAAAAAAGGTAGAAAAGCCAGGCACAGTGGCACATGCCAGTCATCCCTGCAGCCTCAGAAACTAAGTGAAACCTTTATTAAAAAACAAAAACAAAAACAAAAAAACAGGCCCAGGGGCATAGCTCACAGGATTAATCTCCAGTATCTTAAAAAAATGCACTAAAAATTGTACACAGATATTCAGAACACCATCAGAGCACTGTTATTCATAATAGCCAAGAACTTGAAATAATCAAAAATATCTACCAATGAATACAGTAAAAATGTGGTATTTCCATACAATGGAATACATTTTGGCAAAGAATGTGGTACTGGCACATATAACAATGTAGAACCTCAAAAACATTGTCCTTGTTTAATTTAATTTTTAGGAAATGTGAAGTAACAAATCCATAGAGATAGTATGTTAGTGATATTGTAGGACTGAGAGGTAGAGAAAAATAGGGAGAGTGAATGTTAAAGGTTAGAATTTTTTAAGGGAGCCAAAATATGCTAAATTTATATTGCAATGATGATTACATAACCCTGTGAGGCCCTGTCTCTAAATAAAATATTTTTAAAAAGGGCTCAGGATGGGGGCTGTGGATATAGTTCAGTTGGTAGAGTGCTTGCCTTGTATGCACAAGGCCCTGGGTTTGATCCCCAGCACCAAAAACAAAACAAGTAAACAAAAAGGGCTCAGGATATCTTAAAAGTAGTTAAGAGCTCCTGGGATTTGATTCCTGGTATCAAAATAAATAAGTAAATTGCTGGTGGTGTAGCAAAGCCATAAGCAATTTAGTGACACTCTGCTTGAAATTAAAAAAAAAACAAAGAAGAAGAAGAAGAAAATAAAAAGGGCTGGGGATGTAGCACAGTGGTAAAGAGGACTTGAAAGAAAGAAAATCCACAGTCACAGGGGCTAGGTCTGTAGCTCAGTGATAGAGTGATTGGTTGCCAATGACATTTCCCGTTGTGGATTTAGCTCAGTGGCAGAATGCTTGTATAGTGTGCACAATCCCCTACTCTGGATCCCCATTGCCTCAAAACAAAGAAAGAAAAAGTAGGTTCATAAAAATATAGTCTGCATGGTTCTTATTTATTTATTTTTGGGTACAAGGGATTGAACCTAGGGGCCCTTAACCACTGAGCACCTCAGCTCTTCTTCTTTTTCTTCTTCTTCTTTTTTTTTAATTTAGAGACAGGGTCTCATTAAATTGTTTAGAGCCTCACTATATTGCTGAGGCTGGCTTTGAATTTGAGATTCTCCTGCCTCAGCCTCCCAAGCCTCTGGGATTAGAGGCATACATCTCGCTACACAGTTCTGACTCTTAAAATATGAATGTAGTATTTTTATGTCCGGGTAGCTAAGGATTTTCACAGAAAGAGAAAATGATACACAAAAAGTTAGGAAACAGGTACCACCAGAGTCACATTTGAACCAGATTGCCTGAGAGTTAGGAGTCTACCTTGGTTCTAGACAATGACTCAGACCTTGTGCTGGATTCCCAGTCTGACCCTGCCACTGACCTTCTTCAACATCCTTCCTCCTCTATCACAATAATCCTCCTGAATCCAAGGTTCTTTAAGGTACTCTCCAGCCATGGATTGTTCAGAGCACCCCCAAGCTGACCCAGGTATTCACACCTTATTAGTATTAGTATTTACCAAGTTAGAACATCTGCTGGGGAGGCAAAGGGATCTTAGAGCAAGCCATTATCCATAATACTGGCTTTAGAGTCATATATTATAATAGCTTCGAAATGAAAGAGAGAAAATGTTGGGGAGAGGATTTGCCATAGAAACTACCGAGGCCCCGCCCCCTAAATTAACATTCTACTCTTTTGAACTCACACCCTGAGCATTGTCCTCAATTTAACTATTTCAGGGGCTGGGGATGTGGCTCAAGCGGTAGCGCGCTCGCCTGGCATGCCTGCGGCCCGGGTTCGATCCCCCAGCACCACATACCAACAAAAATGTTGTGTCCGCCGAGAACTAAGAAATAAAAAATGTTGGAAATTCTCTCTCTCTCCCTCCTCTCACTCTCTCTTAAAAAAAAAAAAGAATGAACTTTAAAAAAAAAAAATTAACTATTTCAGCACCGCGCCCTAGATAATGCTCAAGGCTCTGCCTTGTGTTTTATTTTATTTGTTTATCTACTTATTTTTAGGTACCTGTGATTAAACCCTGTGAAGCGCTACCACTGAGCACCCGCTCCGCTTTTTCAGTACTGATTGTTGAACTTGGAGGCACATTACCACTGAGCCTCATCCCCAGTCATTATTTTATTTTTAATTGTGAGAAGGGGTCTCACTAAATTGCTTGAGGGTCTGGCTTCGAATTTGGGATTCTCCCGAGTCACTGGGATTACAGGAGTGTGACATCCCACACAGCAAGTTCTGCCTTCTTGGCAAATAATCCTAGGCCAACTATTTGAGTAATCCTCCAGACCTTCCTGTCTAATGATAATAGCATGCAGCCCTAACACCCGGAACACCCCCTGGAAGCTGCTACTCTAAGATTGGGCTCTTGAGCATCCCAGACCCCGCCCTCTAATTAGCCTCCAAACTCCATCCCATTCCTCACACTTCAGGCAGCACCTCCAAGCACTCAGAGCCTCCACCCCGGGACTAGCATTCCAGTCCAGCCCTCCAACGAGTTGCCCACCCCCAGCATCCTCCAGGATCCACTCCCCAGAAATAACCTTCCATGATCCGCTGACCAGAATGACCACTCACACCAGCACCCTCAAAGAATCGCCTAGCGATCCCCTATCTCAATTACCCTAAAGGAATATGCTACAATAACCCCAAGGCCCTGCTCCCTCCAAGAGCTCTCCGAGCCCCGCCCGACCGAATCACACACTTTGGTCCCACCTGGGCCCATAATTAACAATTCCCTGGCCTGTCACCTCGGAACACAGCCCATCCCAATCCAGTACAATCCCCCCACCGAGGCCCCCGCCCCTCCCCGACCCCTGTCACGTACCCTCCTTGTGGCGCAGGCGCAAAGTGTCGCCCGCCCTGCGTACCAGCGCCCACTCATCTGCAGCAGCTCCAGCCGCCAGGGGGCGCGAGTCTAGCCGCGCCAGCAGCCCCCGGGGGGCCAGGGCCCGCGAGGAAGGCCGCGGCCTGCGCAGAAGAGAGACAGGTCAGCGCACACCCCGAGCCTCCGAGAATACCCATGATTCCAGACATCCGGAGACCTAAAAATGCTCGGCAACCTACCCGGAGACTCCTGGCCACTCCCTGCATTGTTTGGAAAGTCGTCGACTGTCCCCCTCCTCTTTCGAGACCCCCCGACCATCGCGGGCATGACACTGGATCCCCACCTTGCCCCGACTATGTCCCTGCAGGTAGCCATTTGGCTGCAGTGGTCCTGGACCCCTCGGAACACCACAATAATTTCTCAGGAGCTCCTTGACTCTCCCCTAAATAATCTAGATTCCAAACTTCTCCCACCAAGTCTCTAGGGATCCTGCTTCTCTCAGAGATCCCGAAAGAAAACACCCCCACACAGCCCTGGGACACCCGATTTCCCCTCCACATCTCCTAAGCAGACCCTGCTACTCCCCGGAGATCCCTCGGAGGCCCATTTACCCCACATGACCCACGTGCCTCTAGGTGACCCCTCTATATAGTTATGTTCCGATCGCTCAGAAAATAGTGTTAGTCCATCCCAATCCAATTTTGTCCAAATTGGAGAGTTTTTATTTAGCCATCTGGCAACTTCTCCCTTCAGGATCCCAATTATCTCTGCCAGGAACAGTCCTGGGTTCAAGTTCTATAGGGTTTATAAGGGGAAAACCCACATCCTCGAAAATGTAGGTGCAGGCAAGCAAGCCTGATACAAGGCTGAGAAAGCAATTAGCAGAGCAAAAACAGACAACCACATCCTGGGTTCGAGCGCATTTCTGGGCATATGGAGTACAGAAAAACAATATTTTAACATCTTAGAAACAGCTTATAAAGCAGTTTTACATGGGAGTTATAAAAATGGAGTCACTATGGCTATATTTGCTTATAGCTATAACTTGTATCTAACTATTGTTCCATTAACCTATACTTATCTGTAACTATTAACCTATGGACTTATATTTATCACCTTACACTGTTCTATATCTTATTTCTAACAACCTAAATCTTATGTCTTATAGTTACATGATTACTTCTTCTAACTTATAACCAGAGCAGCATAACATTATTTATTCTATAACAATTAACACATAATATTTTATCCTATTTATTAATATTTCATAACCTATAATCTATAATTTATAATCTATATTGATTAAGCTCAGACCATAACATCATGTCCCCAGGGACTCCCATTTCTACCCACCATCATGTCCTCAGGGACTCCCATTTCTACCCACCAATTCACTACAGACACTCCAGTACCCAAGCTCCCAGCAACCACAAGCACATCTCTTTGGGCTGTATCTTCCAGAGACTCCTGACAGCCTCCTTCCTACCAGCTGGGTCTTAGGCACCGCCTCCTTGCTCGGGTGTGTGGTAGGGGTAGGGCCAGGGTGAATACAAGGCCCTGGAGCCCAGCCACTGTCTCTGGATCCAGGTCCCTGCCTCTGCTGTTGGGAGCCAGAAATACTTTGTTTACCACCCCAGGATGGAAAAGGTGAGGAGCAGATAGGTGGGGCTTGGGTGGCAGGGTATAAGTCTCCTCCCTCACCTCACCTAAGTACCTCCTCTGCTCCCCCTAGGGTCCCTGGTGCCCCCTGCACATGGCTCCATGACCAGTATTAATTCGATGGATGCACAGTTGCCTTTGATGCCTTTGGAGCACTGGGAGAGCTCACCTGGTGATCTATCCAGTCCTTGACACACGTCAGCCAGTCCCATGCTTGTTGCCTCAACCTGTGCAGTGACCTACCTGGCTGCAGGCAAGAGGCCTGGCTGTGGGAGTGATTAGGAGCCCCTGGCCTTTTTCACTTCTGGTACCTTCCTTGTTAACTGATGACCCTAGAGGCTCCCTTTTCCACACAGGAGATGCTGTTATTCTAGGCACAGGAAGTAGAAGTTGAGGTCCACAAAAAGGGTACAGTGAACTAAGACAACTAAAACCAGGACACAGAACAGCTCAAGTTTATCACTAAATTCTGCAACCACACACATAAATTTGCACATAGTAAGCTTTCATTAAATTTCTATTTAAAGTTTGCATAAGGTGGTTTCTACTGGGGAAATGGAAGTATATGATAGGGATAAGGGTTGCCCTTTGAGCTTTGGGGGCCACACAAGGTTTTGGGAACTGGAGCATCATGGGTTTGGAAAATTCAAAAAGTGAGATGAACAGGTACCCTGGAGAGTAAAGAAGAGATGGTAGCCTAGAACTGAGGAGCCTCTGAATGGCACTGGGGTGGGATGGGAGACCAGTCATTGTCAGTGGAAGAATGAGGCCCCTCTCAAGTTTGAAAAGTTGTGTCTAGGATTATAGGCCCCAATGTGGGAGCCATTGGGCACAGTTTGACAGTAGCAGGAGGAGGAATGGAGTTGCAGTGAGATAGGGCTTGTGATCATCCTTTTGAAGAAGAAACTAAGAGTCTGAGAGGCTCAGAGACCTGTGCATTACACCACAGCTAGCCAATAATGCTGTTCTCTGGGAGCTTACCCTGACTTGGTCAGTGACTGTCATGGATTCTTGCATCCTGACACATAAGTTCCAAGTGTTGTCAGGTGAAACGGGATAAACAGTCTCTTCTCTTCTTTCATTCCTCCTGCAATACCCTGCCCCCCCATATCTGACCTGACTGAGACCATGTTGGATCCCCTAAACTGTTCTGAGATATATATATATATTATATTATATATAAAACATTTATTTATTTATATGTGGTGCTGAGAATTGAACCCAGCACCTCACACATGCTAGGAAAGAACTCTACCATTGAGCCACAACCCCAGCCCCTTTGCCCACTTTTTGTTGAGACTTTCACCTCCAGGAGGTGAACAGGGCAGCTTCCCTCTTGGGGTTTGGACTTTCAGGAACTTGTGGGTGGGTAGCAAGGTGCTTACAGACTGGAGAAAAGGAGCTTGAGGTCTTGTAGCTCCATGGATGAGAGAGTCTTGGATGTGGGGGTGTTGCCCAAGGGCTGGGGACATGTGGACTGTGAAGGGAAGCTTCAAGCACCCAGGTGAGGGAGCTTGCCAACTGGATGGAGTTGGAAAACTTCTTCCAGACTGGAAGATACTCAGACTTGGGGGTTTGTGGAGCAATGGAGGGTATAAGAATATTCCCAGGGATGAATTACAAGGGCTGGAGTTTCAGGACACTGGGTAGGAATGAACTGAGAAGCCAGTGACAACAGGACCACAATTCTGGGGGCAGGGATAAGGCCTGGGGCTGAGGAGTGGTGCTTGTGTCAAGTCACTGAGGCTGCTGAGAGGGTAAGGGGTTCAGCTGAAATACATCTGGGGCCCTAATATACCCCATTGGAAAATGGGGGTGATGAGTTGTGTGTGGTATGAGTGCCAATGGAATTAGTAATAAGCTTCCAAGTGACCTGCATTGTGCCCAGCTAAGCTGTGTGGTAGCAGTGTTGATGCTTATCTTTAATTAATATTGATTACAATCACACTAGGAAAGGCCAAGCTCCCTTAATTCTTGTGAGTTTGAACCAATGCCCCGCTCAGCTTCATCCATTCATGAATATAATAAAGCAATTACCCCCTTTAAGTCTCACTTTATTTATGAATCTAAATCAACATCTTTCATAGTCCCACACAATTTATTAATTTATAGTTTTAAAGAATTTAAACTTTATTTTATATGTGGTACTGAGGATTGAATCCAGTGCTTCACACATGCTAGGCAAATGCTCTACCACTGTGCTACAACCCCAGTCCCCAATTTATTAATCAAACCTTTCTAATAGTGGACTGAGGGGTAACTGACATAAAATTTTTAAAAATATTTACTTATTTTCTTAGTTGTAGTTGGACACAATACCTTTATTTTATTTATATCTGGTGCTGAGGATCAAACCCAGGGCCTTGCACATGCTAGGCGAGCGCTCTACTGCTGAGCCACAACCCCAGCCCCACTGACATAAAATTTGATAGATTTTGAATGTAATGTTTACATCTGTGAAACTACCAGTATCACCAGGATTGAGAACGTAACCATCCCTACCAAGCATTTTTCCTTGCCTCTTTCTAATTTCTCCTTCCTGCCCCTGACTCCCTCTTCAGGTAACCGCTGATCCACTTTGTCACTATACATCAGTTGACATGTTACTAGATATTTATATAAATGGAAACTTACAAGTTGGGACTGGTGATGCATGCAGTCCCAGAAACTTGGGACATGGAGGCAGGAAGATTACAATTTTGTGGCTAGCTACATCAAATTAGCAAGGTTTTCAGCAATTTAGCAAGACCTTCTCTCAAAATGAAAAAGAGATGGGCTGGGGATGTGGCTCAAGCAGTAGTGCTCTCGCCTGGCATGCGTGCGGCCTGGGTTCGATTCTCAGCACCACATACAAACAAAGATGTTGTGTCCGCCGAGAACTAAAAAATAAATATTAAAAAAAAATCTCTCTCTCTCTTTAAAAAAAGAAAAAGAGATAGCTGTGGTAAAATATCCCTAGGTTTAATTTCAAGTAGAGGGGGGAAAAAAGAATCCTACATCATACATTTATTTTATTTTGAGACAGTGGCTCCACTAGTTTGTTGATGCTGGCTTTGAACTTCTGATCCTCCTGCCTCTTTCTCCAGAACCACTGGGATTACAATGTGCACCACCGTGCCAGCTGTTTATTTATTTTGGAGGTAATGGGGATTGAACCCAGGGGGCTCTCCCACTGAAGAACATCAATAGCCCTTTTTATTTTAAATTTTGAGACAGTGTCTCTATAACTTTCCCAGGGTGATCTCCTAATTGCGATCCTCTTCTCAGCCTCTGATGTAGCTGGGACTACGTTGTGGGCCACTGCACTTGGCTCATGATTATTTTGAGGAAAAATTTGTAGTGCTGGGGATTGATCCCAAGGCCTCACTTAGTATGTGCTCCGCCACTGAGTTACACTCACAGCCTATAGCATAATTATTTTGAGATCCATCCAAATTGTTCATTTCTTTTTATTGCTGAGTTGTAGTCCATTGTACAAATATACCAGTGTGTTGATCATTTACCTACTGATAGGCATTTGAGTTGTTTCCAGTTTTGGATCACTAACAAATGTTATGGACTGAATTGTGTGCCCCCTTCCCCTGATAAATTCACATTAAAGACCTAACCAGCCAGGTGCAATGACACACGCTTGTAATCGCAGTGGTTTGGGATGTTGAGACCAGAGGATCGAAAGTTCAAAACCAGCCTCAGCAAAAGCGAGATACTAAGCAACTCAGTGAGACCCTGTCTCTAAATAAAATACAGAATAGGGCTGTGGATGTGGCTCAGTGGTTGAGTGCCTCTGAGTTCAATCCCCAGTATCCCCCTCCCCTCAAAAAAAAGTAGAAGCAGAAGCAGATGCATGCTCAGTTCTTCTAGAGTGGGTGCTTTGATTGCTGCTTGATTGCCTGAAGACATCAGACTCACTCTGCCAAATAGTACTCTTTTTTTAAAAAATATTTTTTCTAGTTGTAGATAAACCCACAATATCTTTTTTTTTTTAATGTGGTGCTGAGGATCGAACCCAGGGCCTCACACATGTGAGGCAGCTCCTTTACCATTGAGCTATAGCCCCCAACTCCCAAACTGTACTCTTTTTTTAATATTTATTTTCTCTTTGTAGTTGGACACAATACCTTTATTTATTTTTATGTGGTGCTAAGGATCGAACCCAGGGCCTCACGCTTGCTAGGTGAGTGCTCTACCTCGAGCCACAACCCTAGCCCCCAAACTGTACTCTTTTTAAAAAAATTTTATTTTTGGTTGTTCAAAACATTACATAGTTCTTGACAAGTCATATTTCACACTTTGATTCAAGTGGGTTATGAACTCCCATTTTTACTCCGTATACAGAATGCAGCATCACATTGGTTACACATCCACTGTTTTACATATTGCTATACTAGTGTCTGTTGTATTCTGCTGCCTTTCCTATCCTCTACTATCCCCCATCCCCTCTCCTCCCATCGTCTCTCTCTACCCCATCTACTGTAATTCATTTCTCCCCCTTGTTTTTTTCCCCCCTTTCCCCTCACTTCCTCTTGGGGTCGGGCTCCAAATTCCTCAATAGGACACCCATAGCACAAGAATTAATAACTAGAACCAACAAATGGGACTTACTCAAACTAAAAAGTTTTTTTCTCAGCAAAAGAAACAATAAGAGAGGTAAATAGGGAGCCTACATCCTGGGAACAAATCTTTACTCCTCACACTTCAGATAGAGCCCTAATATCCAGAGTATACAAAGAACTCAAAAAATTAAACAATAAGAAAACGAATAACCCAATCAACAAATGGGCCAAGGACCTGAACAGACACTTCTCAGAGGAGGACATACAATCAATCAACAAGTACATGAAAAAATGCTCACCATCTCTAGCAGTCAGAGAAATGCAAATCAAAACCACCCTAAGATACCATCTCACTCCAGTAAGATTGGCAGCCATTATGAAGTCAAACAACAACAAGTGCTGGCGAGGATATGGGGAAAAGGGTACACTTGTACATTGTTGGTGGGACTGCAAATTGGTGCGGCCAATTTGGAAAGCAGTATGGAGATTTCTTGGAAAGCTGGGAATGGAACCACCATTTGACCCAGCTATTCCCCTTCTTGGTCTATTCCCTAAAGACCTAAAAAGAGCATGCTACAGGGACACTGCTACATCCATGTTCATAGCAGCACAATTCACAATAGCAAGACTGTGGAACCAACCTAGATGACCTTCAATAGACGAATGGATAAAAAAAAAATGTGGCAGTTATACACAATGGAGTATTACTCTGCATTAAAAAATGACAAAATCATAGAATTTGCAGGGAAATGGATGGCATTAGAACAGATTATGCTAAGTGAAGCTAGCCAATCCCTAAAAAACAAATGCCAAATGTTTTCTTTGATATAAGGAGAATAACTAAGAACAGAGTTGGGAGGAAGAGCATGAGAAGAAGATTAACATTAAACAGGGGTGAGAGGTGGGAGGGAAAAGGAAAGAGAAGGGAAATTGCATGGAAATGGAAGGAGACCCTCATGGTTATACAAACTGTACTCTTAATGGTGACTCTCCAGAGAATTTCCAGGCCTTAAGTACCGGAGTGGAAATGCATCATTGTTTGGTTCCTTTTGTTCTGAAGCTCAGAATTCTTATGTTTTTTTTTTTTGTTGTTGTTGTTTTTTTTTTTAGAGAGAGAGATTTTTTAATGTTTATTTTTTAGTTAGTTTTCGGCGGACACAACATCTTTGTTTGTATGTGGTGCTGAGGATTGAACCCGGGCCGCACGCATGCCAGGCGAGCGCCCTACCACTTGAGCCACATCCCCAGCCCAAAGCTCCGAATTCTTGAACTGTGTAGTTACTGGTTCCTCCAGGTCTCCAGCCTGTTGAACACCATTGTGGGACTATCCACAATGATCATATAAGACAATATAACAAATTCCCTTTTTATAATAATAAAAACTCTAATCACCAATGTGACAGTATCTAGAGACAGGGTCTTTAAGAGGTAATTGGGTTAAATGAGATTATAAGGTGGGGCTATGTACAGTCCTAATCAGATGAATTGTATGTAGCCTTACAAAAAAAAAAAAAAAAAAAAAGGAAGAGAGGGCTGGGGATGTGTCTCAGTGGTAGAATGCTTGCCTACCATGCATGAATCTCTGGGTTTGATCACCAGCACTCCCCCCAAATTAAAAAAAAAAGGAAGAGAGAGAGAGAGGGTTCTGTCTCTCTCTGATATCTCTTTCCCACTCTCAACTCAATGTGAGGATACAGCCAGAAGGAAGCCATCTACAAGCCAAATGACCAGCACCTTGATCTTGACTTTCCAGTCTCTAGAAGTGTTAGAAATTAAATTTCTGTTGTTTCAGCCACCCAATCTCTGTAGTATTTTGTTATGGCAGCCCAAGATGAATATGACAAGAAATAAAGGTGACATTCATGTACAAATCTTAGTGTAGAAGTCTGCTTTTTTTCTTTAAAAAAAAGGTAAATAAATACCCAGAAGTGGAATGGCTGAAATCATACCTATATGTTTAACTTAAGACACTGCCAAACTGTTTTCCAAAGTTGCTAAGCCATTTACATACCTATCAGCAGTATATTTGAGTTCCATTTCTTCTATATCTTTTGCAACTGTTGGTATGTTCAGGCTTTTTAATTTTAACCAGGGTTCTCAGATAATAGAAGCCGTGGCGCCTGAGTAAAACCGAGGCCAAGTGTTCAGACTGGCTCCTACAACCAGGCCTTGGTGCCAGCAGCCAGGTAGGTCATGGCACGGGTCGGGGCACAGAACTGGCCGGCCTCAGCCGAGTCCAGGCTGGGGCAGGCCGCCAGGTGAGTGTGCCCCTGTGCTCAAAACTAGTTGCTGGGCGGCCGAGAGTCCACCCAGCAGACTACTGGCTATGGAGTCGCGCTCAGGGGGCACTGCGGACCGTAGGGGGAGCAGAGGAGGTATGGGAGAGGTGGAGTAGGGTGGGAAAGGGAGGGAGAGTGTCCCATGTCACCCTCGCCCCGCCTGTCTGTTCCTCACCTTTTCCATTCTACAGGTGGTAAACAGCAGCCTTGGAGGCCAAGCGGTATTGGTAGCGGGCAGGGTCTGATGGTCGAGGGCTGTGCTCCAAGTCAGCACTCTTCACAACACAGCAGAGGGGCGGCACACCAGGCGCGGGAGGGGTAGCTTCCCCGGAGTCTCGGGGGAAGGTGCACTGAGAGATCTGGGGACAACTGGGCACTCAGGATCCATAGCTCCAGGCCCTATACTCACATTCACACACCCCCTCCACACACACCTGAGCAGAGAGGCGGTGCACAAGACCGAGCTGGTAGGAAGGAGACTGTCAGGAGTCTCTGGAGGCTCGCCTGGGGAGGTCTGCCCGTGGTTGCTGGGGACGCCTGGGCACGCAGTGTCTGTAGTGAATTGGTGACCAGAACTGGGGGTCCATGAGGAGGGGTCACCTAGAGGCACGTGGGTCATGTGGGGTAAATGGGCCTCCGAGGGATCTCCGGGGAGTAGCAGGGTCTGCTTAGGAGATGTGGAGGGGAAATCGGGTGTCCCAGGGCTGTGTGGGGGTGTTTTCTTTCGGGATCTCCGAGAGAAGCAGGATCCCTAGAGACTTGGTGGGAGAAGTTTGGAATCTAGATTATTTAGGGGAGAGTCAAGGAGCTCCTGAGAAATTATTGTGGTGTTCCGAGGGGTCCAGGACCACTGCAGCCAAATGGCTACCTGCAGGGACATAGTCGGGGCAAGGTGGGGATCCAGTGTCATGCCCGCGATGGTCGGGGGTCTCGAAAGAGGAGGGGGACAGTCGACGACTTTCCAAACAATGCAGGGAGTGGCCAGGAGTCTCCGGGTAGGTTGCCGAGCATTTTTAGGTCTCCGGATGTCTGGAATCATGGGTATTCTCGGAGGCTCGGGGTGTGCGCTGACCTGTCTCTCTTCTGCGCAGGCCGCGGCCTTCCTCGCGGGCCCTGGCCCCCCGGGGGCTGCTGGCGCGGCTAGACTCGCGCCCCCTGGCGGCTGGAGCTGCTGCAGATGAGTGGGCGCTGGTACGCAGGGCGGGCGACACTTTGCGCCTGCGCCACAAGGAGGGTACGTGACAGGGGTCGGGGAGGGGCGGGGGCCTCGGTGGGGGGATTGTACTGGATTGGGATGGGCTGTGTTCCGAGGTGACAGGCCAGGGAATTGTTAATTATGGGCCCAGGTGGGACCAAAGTGTGTGATTCGGTCGGGCGGGGCTCGGAGAGCTCTTGGAGGGAGCAGGGCCTTGGGGTTATTGTAGCATATTCCTTTAGGGTAATTGAGATAGGGGATCGCTAGGCGATTCTTTGAGGGTGCTGGTGTGAGTGGTCATTCTGGTCAGCGGATCATGGAAGGTTATTTCTGGGGAGTGGATCCTGGAGGATGCTGGGGGTGGGCAACTCGTTGGAGGGCTGGACTGGAATGCTAGTCCCGGGGTGGAGGCTCTGAGTGCTTGGAGGTGCTGCCTGAAGTGTGAGGAATGGGATGG